TATTCTATGATTCTATGATTCTATATTTTATGTCAATAAATATGCTAGATCTAAGTAATGATTAAATTGTGCATTGGTATTTTGGTTGTGCTAATAGAACAAATACACTGTATATCATTTAGATGTTAATGTAAGGATGAGATTATGAAATATTTTTTAAAATTCTGTAATTAAAATGATTTGGCACCCCTGTATGGGTTCTTTTGCATAGAGATCTTCACTTTGGATTTCTGCATGCACCTCCTCATGACCCTTGAAAGTCATTGAAATGCAGATTTAGAAAAAGCTTAGACATTCTCATGAGCATTTTTTCTTGTGCATCAAATGTCTCTTTTCAAATGATATTACTAGTATTTTGCCTGTTACCCATTCTTGAGCACCACCATTGAAAGAAGTGGAGGTAGATTACAGGTGTCTAGTTAACTAATAAGAGACTTTTCGAAATGCTGTGATTGCAGAAAACTAGTTACTCTTGTTGAAGTGTATACATCTAGCCTTACTCAGTGCTGTTTAATTAGTTCCAAACTCATTTTCACAATTACTTAATTTTCCTAATATAGCAGTCTCCCCTTGAAAGCTTTTATTTCCCCCTAGCTGATTTTATAGTTTAAGAAGAGGTGGAGTGATTTTCATCCTGTCTTATACCTAATAGTTATTTTAAGGTCCATCCTCATTGTGTCTTTGGGTTTCTGTAATCTCCCATTATTTCTGTGTCTTTCTAGTCCTAAAGGAAGATTTTTGTTATATCAACACAGTTACTAAAACGATTGGCTTATGTTTCTGCTTGCAACATTTTTTCAAGAGAATTCTGTTGCTGCAGGACATAAAGTGCGTTAAACTAGAGGTGAATTTTCTGTTTTCCAATTAATGGAGTAAGCCAGGTCTTCTAAATTTTGCAGGTTTGGTTGCCTGAGTTTAACTTGTAGACATAAGAATAGTTCAAGAACATGCTAATACCATCAAATTCTGTTAAATATGCATGTCTAAATAAGACAGGAAAAGATTTTTTCCTCTGGAGTGAAATAAGTGGAGGATCCATGTATGGAAAAATAACATTACTTTCTAAATAAATAAATTTATATTAAGTAAATCTGAATCACTTGGGTTCAGTGAAATTCAGATGAGGAGACCCATGCATTTGCATATGTGAAACTGTTCAGTTCTGAGTGCAAGCATTAATGCAGGCAGGTGTGTAAGCAATCTAGAAATTTACATTTCAATGTCTCCTGAGGTCCATGAGGAGACACATCCAGAGAATGTGTTCTCATACATGATTATCCAGAGTTGTGTGGATCTGTGGAGGAGACTATGTGGAAACTTTATTTGATGCTAAGTAACCCTGTTTGCATTGTGTACAAAGTGAATACGTACATAAAATTGAATTCAGCTCCATTATGTTCTGGTCTGCAGTGGTGGCTTAGTATCTACAGTGTGTAAATAGCTCTTTTAATTAGTTTGGGTATGGTTTTTTGAACAAGTGTAAACCAAAATCCCAGAACAGTGTGCACAGGTATTTCAGTCCCAGAAACATTCAAATTACAAAACTGGTAGGTGTCCTTATTCTTGGCTGTGACTGTTGTGATAATAATGGAGGAACAAGGACAGAGTAGGCTGTGGAGATAACAAGAGGGTGGTTTCCATGGCTATTGAATGCAAATATTTTATCACACTTTGATTGGTAAGCTGTGCAGTGCTGCTGCTTCTTTTTTTCATTTGGCAGAGCGGTGAAACC